CTCATTTTCATCAGCTATTACCCCGGTTTCCAGATTTATAACAAAATTCCTCAAGAGAGGGGTCAGTGCCTTGGCATAATAGGTTAAGCCCCTGCCTATGGTACCAGCATCCCACATGGGTGCCAGTTTGTGTCCTGGCTGCTCCACTTCCAATCAAGCTCCCAGCTAATGTGCCCAAGTGCTTGGAGCCATGCATCCAGGCAGGGGACCCGGTGAAAGCTCCTGGATCTTTAAGACAGGCCCACGTCCAGCCACTGTGGGCATTTGGAGAGTGAACCAGAAGACAAATGACCTCTGCCTCTTCTTCTCTCTCTACAACTCTGCTCTTCAAATGAAAATAAATTTTAACAATTACATAAAAAAAAAAAGCCCTTCTCAAAAGAGCTTAACAGCATACCACTCCAAAATACACTGCTTTGGCACACTGATTATCCTAAGCTGGGGCCACAGGCAACCAGCAGGGACTCTCTGGCCTCCTTCTCAGAAACAGATCAGAAAATTTCCCATGAAACAGGTGCCTTCCCCATGCTAGAAAGAGAACATTCTTCCCACCAGAGACTAAAAGTTTACACCAAAATGGACCAGTACAAACAAAGCTATATCATATTCCAGTGAGTTTCCCCATATATTTCCTAGTTGTTATGCTAAAATTTAATGTCCCTAGCCCCCAAGTCCCATTGACACATCACATCCTCACATTTGATGTTCTTTGCATAAAAAATGATAAGGCCTAATGGAATATTAATCTTCATTTTCTTTTTTGAAGGCTGCATTTAATGTGTAAAAATATTAAGTAAAATGTGCTTGCTTTTCTCCTATTAACTGGTGTTAACTCTGAGGCCAGCCACAGAGCCAAAGGGAAGAGAAGGAAGTTTCATGTTCGGTCCCTACAGAGCCATCCATCACGGCCTCCCTCCTGCTTGGCTTGGCTCCACTGCCATCACTCCATGGACTGTCACAGTCGCTGATTTCCATGTTGCTGCATCCAGGGGCCAATTCTGAGCCCTTCTCCTACCTACCAGCAGCTGATAACAACCTTTTCTACTTGGCCTCTGGGATCCATTCTACTCCGGCCACTCCTCCTCACGCCCTTTCATTCATGACCTTATCCTTACTTTCCTGTCCTCTAAACTTCAAGAAGCCTATGAGCTAAATTCTCATTCTGGTTCAGTCCTTTGGTTCATTTTTTGTTTTGTTTTGTTTTTAATATATTTTATTGGAAAACCAGATATATAGAGAGATTCACTCCCCAAGTGGTTGCAACAGCCAGAGCTGAGCTGATCCGAAGCCAGGATCTCAGAGCCACTTCCTAGTCTCCCATGCAGGTGCAGGGTCCCAAGGCCCTGGGCCATCCTCAACTGCTTTCCCAGACCACAAGCAGGGAGTTGGGTGGGAAGCGGGGCTACCAGCATAAGAACTGGTGCCCATGTGGGATCCCAGTGCATACAAGGCAAGGACTTTAGCTGCTAGGCTACCACGCTGGGCCAGCTCCTGTTCTTTTTGTCCACTCCCGAGTGATCCCAAGCACCCAGCACTGCTCTCTGTAAGCCCACCTTCTTCCCTGCCTTGTGCTACCAGTCCCAGCTCTACAACTCTGCTTGGAAGTCTAACAGCCCTCTCAGCACACCTAAACTTGAATTCCCGATCTTAGTCTCCCCAGACCTGCTGGTATAACAGCCTTCCCCTCCACCATAAAAGACAGTTCCCTCCTTCAGGGGCCCAGGGCAAACCTTTGGAAATCATCCTTAGTCACATTCTTTCATACCCTGCACTCAATGCAGCTGCACACACAAAATTGGCTCTGTATTTCCAGGATGTTCTAAATCCAACCATCTCTCATCCTCCGTCCCTACTCCTCTCACGAGATGCATTGGTCTGAATATCTGGGCCTCTCCCTGCCCTCCCCCTCCAAACTCCTCTGGAAGCCCAATGTCAGAGGTGACAGGATGAAGGACAAAGCCTTTGGGAAGTCGTGAGAGCTTTGCCCCTAGGAGTGGATGTGATGCTCTTATAGGAGGGACTGGAGGGGGGCTGTTTTGTCCCTTTCACCCTGTGAGGACTCAAAAGAAGGAATGAGTCGTCACCTAACAATCTGCTAGGCCTTGATTTTGGACTGCCCAACCTCCGGAAGTGAGAAAAAATAAGTTTGCATTGTTCATATAAATTACCCAGTGTGAGACATTTTGTTGAACAGCTAGAACAGAATAAGAAACCCTGGGTGAGTGCAGCTGCCGGTAACAGCTCCCTCTGCTTGGGCCACTACGATCACCTTAACATTCAAACTCCTGCCACTACTTTGCATTAAGTTTGTTAGGGGCTCCCATTCCTTCGGAATAGAATCGGAAGTCCGACCCACGGCCTACCCGGGCCTGCATGATCTGCCCACAGCCTGAGTCCTCCTCATCCTCCAGTTTCCTCCACCCACTGGCCTGTTCCCTTCCAGCTACCCAGCGCCACCTGCCGGCCTGGGTCTTCCTGCTGCAGGCCGAGACCCTGCTCAGCACCTTGTGCCAGCAGCGCCCTCTGCTGGACACGCTCTTCCCCCAGGACTCGAACGGCCTCTCAGCTCCGCTAGAACAGCATCTCACCTGGCAGCTACGGCAGCTTTCACCGAAGATTCTTTGTGTCCTTACCTCGCTTTATTTTTCTGCATAGCCATGATCACAACTGTACATCTGTCTACTGTCCGGTATCTCCTTAAGAACCGTCTGAAAAGCAGGAACGCGCTGTTTTTGGTGCTCATCCCCCAGTGCGTAGTGAACTACAGGCATGCGATAAGCACTCCATCACCAGGAGCGTGACCGGCAAGGCCCTTAGCTGGACTGACACAGGATCTTGAGTGACTTACAGGGTCCAACCATGACAGCCAGCCATCAGACGTCTTCACCTCAGGATGTGGAGATGCCTGTGGTGTTCCGCTACGGAGACTTTCGCACTTAGTCCTGACAAAACAATGACAATGTCAGCGCAGGCAGGCAGATTTCTGGGAAAAGGGTAAAAGGAACCGTGTCTGTTTTGGCTTTCAGGGACTGAAGCAGGGCAAAGGCTCGTGCCTGGGCAAGCGCGGCGTAGAATATTCTCTTTGCAAGCACATGTTCGCTCGCTCCTCTCTGTGGATCTGAAAACACAATCCTGGCCCGCAGCTTTTAAGAAACTACATTGACCTTGATCCATACCAGAACAGAATGGATTAATTTTAATTCTTTATAAATCTTTTAAAGCAAAGAGATTTGGTGTTTATTAACTCTCATTAGAAATGTTTCTTTGGAATCTGTGAAGAATAAAGACACTATCATTCTGATTTTTTTTTTTTTTTTTTTTTTAGTTAGACATGCTTAGAGGTAAGCATGGTATTTAAAATCTTTGGGACGAGTAGAAGTTATCAACAGCATTTTAGACAAGGAATTAAAAATGCTTTAAAGTGCTTGCCTAGTGCATTAATTTTAATTATACTCCACTGGACTTACAATGCTTTGAAGCGCTTTAAAAAGTGCCCTCAAGATCTTTTATTAATCATCATACAAGCACTATCAAATTCTAAAGCCTTTTTTTTCCAGCTGTGGGAAGCAGCCGCTTGCCCGAGAGCACCCTCTGCTGTTCAAAGCGTGAACTGCAAGCTACGTTTCAGAGAATTCACAGCAACTTCAGGAAGGTGGTACAAAAAGGGGCGTCTCACAAAATGTTAACACCACACGCTTGTTTTGTTGGAATTATCCATTCTTGCCTCTAGGGCTTGGAAGGCTACTGTACAAGATACAAATGTATCCCTAAAAAAGTTCACAAAAATTGGGATCAAATGATACCCTTATTTTAACACGAAATCATTTTGAAGTGTTTTTCATAATACATGTGTTCCACGAACTTTTTTGAAGACCCTTCATACATGAACGGCAAGTAGCATCCTGAGGCAGCAGGGTCCTTTGCACTTCGTCCCCTAGAAAGCCTCATGGAAATGAATTCCAATGTTTTAAAACATGGGGCAATTACTCTAATCAGCTTTCCTTTTCCTTACAGGTGCAACCTGATTTTAAAGGCACAGTGTCATCAGCACATGATTCTGTAAACTCAGCTATCTGCTTCCTAACCAGCAAGTCTGACTTGCTTCAAAAATCACCCAGAGCCAAATCCGTATTTTGATGCGGGTGCTAAGCAGGGACTTCCTAATACTCGAAACAAGAAAAGTGCTTGTTTTGCATTCCCCAAGGAATAGGTAATTAGGCTGAGTGCCATGAAATAGCCATTAGGAAAGATAACCACTGGCAGATGGTTCAGCCAGACATGCTTCAAGGTCCTATGCTTCAGAACCCTGGAAAAGGCCAACAAAGGTCCTGGGAATGAAATCGTTACAGAGGACAGGAAGGGTGTGGGACAATCAAGATCACCATGTATCAGGAAGGTCTGAGCGGAACTGAGACAGGCAGAGTTGGTAGCCAGGCAGGAATGCCGTTGCACACATGGTGGTCTGGACCACTGTGTCTCCCGCTGCTCTGAACTAGCCCACATTCAATGACCAGCAGCAAGGGCTAAGACCGTGCTTAGAGATGTGACCATGAAATACTAACTTAAACAGCTAAATAAAAATTTAAACACAAGACAGATTTGCAAAAACGATTTCAATTTTAATTCTTCCTTTTACTCGTTCAGTTTTGGCTGGGCATGAAATACTTGCACACTTTGCGGGTTATAGTGCAGTGTTTTAACAGACCAAACACTGCGGGCAAGCGGCCTTCCACTTCCTTCATCACAGTCTCTTCTGCGGAGGCCCAGAGCCCACAACCTCCGTCTGACTTCCGCTGGATTCCAGCGCCTGCTGTCACCACATCCCCCTCCACCCTTCCCAACCTCTGCTTCCCACTGACTGTGTCCCAGCAGGAGGGTGGCTGTCAGGCACTTGTTCATCAGACCCCAGATACACACTCCTTGCATGAACCACATTTGCAAAGCAGTCATGTAAAGACGGTTTCCTACACTTTCAAACTTTACCAATGAGTGCACATGATTTCGTTAGTGCTGCTAGACTACTGGCTCAAGTGAGAAAACCACACAACTCTGCCGTGGACGCGGTGTGTGCTGGTGTCACAGGAAAGATGAGAAGCCCTGTGAGGCTCAGGCAGCCACGGTGTCAGTCACCTCGATGTCTTTGAATCCTCATGCCTGCAAGCAACGCACATGACACGGTGTCCACAGAAAAGCAAATTCACTGAGGTAGGGAAGCAAAGGTTGTTAGTTATTGTCGTGTAGAGACCCACTATGCATTAACTTGCAAATTCATTTTCAAATTCCTTGCCAAATAAGGCTCTGACCTCTGAATTCTCTTTGATGCCAGTTGCAACATAATGAATTGAGTCAAAATCTTAAGCATATATTCATATCTTTATGAGTCATGGCGATACCCTCTTTCAGAAGTCACCCTTTATTATCTCATCAATTGTAGTTTGGTGGTGGTATTTTTCCAGCACATGCCAGGATGTCTTGTTCACTGACTCCTTGGTAGTGAAGCCATGTACCTAGGCCTGATGGAGAGTCAGTTGGTTAAGGTTATTGAAATTGATTTCCTACCTTTCAAAAAAATAGACCCAGACCTTGCAAAAGAAGATATTAAGTCCACAGCACAGCATGAATTACATGAAATACATCTTTAATTTTAGAAAAAATCAATATGCAATCTACAAAATACTTTGTTACATGATTATTAAGGCTCCATCTGCTTTATCTTTGTATTGATAAGACACAAAAATCATAGTTACAGTAAAACATAATAGCCACTGTTGAGGAAAGCTCCCTAACTGAATTTATCAGAAAAAAAAAAAAAACTGCATCATGAGCACAGCTCTGGAATGAAAACCCAGAAAAGCTTAGAGCCATCTAACTTGTACAGATCAGGTCAAAAAGTCCAGCCTTTGTTCTTACGTTGGAAAGTATCTTTCTTGCATATCATTATTCACACTGAGAAACGCAATTCCCATAGGCAAAGGAAATGTCGTGGAACCAGATCTGCACACTGGATCAACTGAACAACGCGCTATCACAGCTGATGTGATCCTGTGATTGCTAGACCGGACCGGAACAGCAAAGCAGAACATCACGCATTAGCCAACTCCTTCCACTCAGCCACAGCGTCAACCAAATGTCTGACTCCGAAATGGTCAGCCCCTTCAGTAGGGGATCTAAAGCAAAACCCACGTAAGGTCTGCCTCGCACTCAATCCCTTCCTCCCTCCCTCCCTCAAAAGCCAGAGTTTTCTGAAGATCACTATTAACTTTCAGTGATGGGTGATTCTATTTCTTAATGGGTAATTCTCAACGGACCTGACCCAATTTTTCACTTACAGCACAGTAGTCGTATCTGACCTCCTGCCATTTCTAGGGTCAGAAAAGAATTGCATTAAGAAGCCTCTCCCTACACAGAATGTTAACTTATCACTAAGAAATGAATATTTAAGGTCCTAATGTGCAAATTAACAATTATGCAGCAGCACCCCGCTGCTAATGCTATCGACCTGTGCAGAGCCGAACAACCTCAAGTCTTGGGGCTTCACTCGGTCATGTGCTACTCTGTTCTCAGCACTGAATCCTCACAGGGCAGCACCCAGGTAACAGACTCCGGCAGCCAGCCAACCGCTGAAACCTGAGGGGCAACTCATCGGCCCTTCTGCTAAATTCATGTGGGGGCGTGAATATTCCTCCAATTCACTCCAATCAGACTGCGGCTCCCTTTGTGGCAGGGTGCCAGGAAGCACTATCAGCAAGCCAGGGCAGTCCCCAAGCCAGAGAACTTCCTGGGTTTGGGGACCCAGCATCAGCACCGGCCCACCTCTGTGCAGGTTCTGAGCAGATGGAAGTCGCTCTTGAGGGTGCCCATCCCAGATGTGGAAAGATGGTAGCATCTTGAGAAATGGCATACGCATGGATTTGCCCTCCTGTGCATCCACTACAAGGTGCAGACATATGATATTATGAACAATGCATCGAGTGAAGCTAAAAAGAGCAAGATAGATTCATTTTAACTTTCGGCTATTGCATTGTTTACCTTGATGGCAAAATAATGAAAAGTAATAAAATCTGCTGGTAGGTAAAGAGTATCGTAGCTGTTAGTCTTTGTCGGTTTTTGAACAGATTAAAACTCATATAAAACATACAATATAAACTCCGTATGCCAACCAATACATGTTAGAACTTCATATCAGTTCTGGCTCAAAACATCTCTCGTACATGGAGACAGGTTCAACAGAGGTTGAAGGTAAACTAATACCACAGGCCAAAAGTACCTAACATATAAATTTCCAAAAATGCACATTCTGATCTCTTACTGTAAGTGTTAAAAAGGAAACCATAAACAACTATAGCTGTAAATGCCATGGGCTTTTCATTAGAAATCAAACAATTATAGTCCTTCAGCTAACTCTGAAGAATAAAAATGCCACATCTTGGAACTATAGAATAACCTAGTATGTTTCATTGTATTCATTTTTGAAAGAAAAATACTCTAAATAAAGCAGGATTAGCATAAAAGAGCATAATAGCAGAACTAGCATAAAATAATAATATGATTTAGACTTCTACTCCAAAGAAGCCTGCGTTGATCACATATAATCCTTTATCACAATACATTCCATTTTGAATTCTGTACTTTTGGAAAACAGTATTCATGAATTTTAAAAATTCATCTTTAATGTACATAAATATTTTAAGTAGTGTCCAATACTCCAAACACATCTTGAAAGGAATCCCACCAAGCAAAAAGCAATAAGTCTTCGTGACTCGCACTAAAATATGCATTATCCACAGAAATAGCTTCTTTGCAGCCCACACCAGAATACACACAGATTTTCAAAATGATAATATGGCAGGCAAAAGAACAGGTACCCAAATACAGCCAAGGATTACTTACCAATGCAGTAAAGGACCAAGAAGTTTAATAATTCAAGGCCACAGACACCTCCAAATCTCCAAAACAGCCTGTGGCTTCATCATTCTATACCTCTGCCACATTTTAGGAGATGAGCAAGAGGCAGAATTAACTATTTGATTTATGTCCCCTTTGATTGCCTTACCTGCTGGGGCAGTTGCTAAGAGCAAGAAGGAATGGGGGCTGAAGGGTCATATCTACAACATCTGTGTAAAGCAGAAGGCAAAAGCACGAGCCTCTGGGCACCCAAAGACTGAAAAACCCTTCAGCCAGACCGGCCGCCAGGCCACACGTGCCTCTGAGTTTTAACAGGAAGCAAAGCATCACACAAGTACAAACACATTTCAGATGAAACCCTGGGGGGGGGGGGGGGGAATCAAAACATAAAGCTCAACCGGTTCGGTTTCAGGTTTCAACTTCTCTGGACAGAGCCGTGGGACCGGTCCTGAGACCACGGCAGGACTCCTGTGCGCTGCCCACCGAGCAGAACTCGCTGTGGCTTCGTGACTCGCAGACGCATGCACGGTCATTCTGGACTCTTCCTACGCTATTGAGTTACGCAGTCACCAGCTTTCTCTGGGTCTTCTCCATCAATCTTAATCCTTTTCTTCTCTATTTCAACCTGTTACACAAAAGCATAGGCAGCCTTAACAGTTGCAACACAGCACTGACGGCTCTTCAGCCCTACTTTTTATACCGGCCAAGACCGAGACTGCCTCGCTTTGGACAGACAGCCCGTCCACTAACTCCTGTACCAGCTGTCGGAAGGCGCTCTGCTACCCTGTTACACAGCACAGCCTCCCCTACAAATCCTCCGCTCGAGCGCAGACTTCTCAAGGAGGCTGAACCGCTCTTCTCACACACAAAGTGTGCACAGACTAGACACACACAGACAAGGCGTGGGACGGGTGATCCTCTCGAGCAGCTTCTGCTCAGTCACTTTCTGAACACCGACTAGTCTGTAAGCCGCTAACCCAGGAGGGCATTTGTGGGCATTTGGTTACACATATGAATAGATGGGAGCTTGATCTGCCCCCCATATATGCATGAATCTATATGTGTGCATGTGAGAGAAAGAGAAATGAAAACAATTTTTTGAAGAAACATTCTGTTAACTGATTTTGAGATTTTCATCAAAAATAAGCCAAATGAGTACACTGGATAGCTAAGCAAACCGTGAAACGCACTTCGCGTGTAACACCTACATGCCTAAACTGTAGGTCAGATTCCCCAAGAGGCAGACTCTGAGAGGGAGATCTGTGGCAGCAGGGTTCCTGGGGCGTGCTGCCAGGGCCCCCGTGCCCAGGGGCAGGAGGGATGTGGAGGCAGCAGCAGCGGCAGAATGAGGAGAGGCAAGTCTGGGTAGCTGAAACCCGGCTGGTTCTGCGGGGCTGGCCCACGTTGCTGTCAGGGGTTCTCTGGAGACAGGCTGACTCCGGAAGGTGGAAGGGGGCATGACCTCGGGCAAGCAGCTCCCTCCAGCCAGGCAACTGCTAGCTGCTGAGGGCCTCGGTTCATTAGGGCTGGGTGGGCCACACAGGGCAGGCCTACACAGCATTAACTTTATTGATAGAAAAAAAAAATCACAGGACCCACACACAAAACATCTGTACAAGTGGCCCAAAACAAAATTCTGACTTCTCTTACCATATTTTAGGACCACCAGTTGGTGTCAATGATGTCTTATATAGTCGTACAATTCTTTAAAGGGAATAAACGGGTAGAAAATCAGAAATCATCTTAATCGTCGCTGAGACTCAAGCAACCCATAGATTTGAAAATGCTATTAGAAAGTGTGAAATGTTGTTCGTGGGCCAGACAAAAAGGAAATACAAACAATCCTAACTTTGATCACTTCATTCAAGTGCACTGTTTGAGCTCTATCATTCAGGAAATATTTTCAAATTTAAAAAACTTTTTAACCAACACCAGAAATGTCATCATTTCAAGATTCAATGGAAAATATGTGGCAGAGATTAACGATATATCTTCCAACCTTCTGTGTCTATTAACCTTAAAGATAAGAAGGAAAACACGAGTTTAGAAAGACTTCAGTGTGTTCTACTCTAGCTAGCCTAATAATGCACTGCCAAAATGCCCTCAACCGCCAGGGTTGGCCGGACCAGAACTCAACCGGGTCTTCCACGCCAGTGTCAGGAACCCAAATGTTGCAGCCGCCGTCCGGTGGCTCCCAGAGCACATTAGCTGGAAGCCGGGCCTGAACCAGAACAGCAAGGACACACCAGGCGCTCCAGCTTGGGATGAATGTGTACCAAGCAGTAACAGAAGCTCTGCCCGGCACGTGTGCCCGTGGTGAGCACGGGCAAGTGACACAGGCTCTTCCCTAAGATAATGACAGGTGTTTCACTGACACCTACAGCCAGACAACACTTCACTGAGTTGAACTAAACCAGGTTAAGGAACTTCAGAAGTTTACAAGATTTCCTAGAACCTTCATTTAACGTTAATTTGTGGCATTCCCTAACTTACTTTCTTCTTAAATCTTTCTGTACAGGGTATGTGTGCTAAAAATCCCACTTTGAGCAATTTTATTCTGATATGATAACTTCCATCACATGCGCTTCTAGAACATGAATTTATCTTCAGTGTCCTATTCCCCTAAGGAGAGCTGAGTTAAGTATTCTCCCACATTCTCTAAATGAAGGGAAAGAGCTGAGCTGCATGGTGACCAGGTGAGCATGACAGAGCTCTTGCCTCGATGTATATCCTCAGATACACACACACACACACACACACACACACACTCACTCAGTCAAGCCCAGTTGGCCCGTAGCTCTGGAGGCCCCAGCCTGAGCCCAGGGGCTCCAGGTGTACCTGAATGTTGTAGCAAGCTCGCTGGTGGACATGCTTCTGCGGCTGCACATCACTCTCCACCCCTAGAGATCGGACCACGGTCCCAGAGGCGCAGGTGTCAAGCATCACGAACTGAACAGTAGCGAACGGATGCCAGTCAGAGGGGATCTCCTGGTCTGACCCAAGTTCTAGTTTGCAGGACAGACAATGGGGATGGTCAGGACCTTGGGAGAAAAACAAATATCAAACAAAGTATTTCAGAGCCATTGAACATGGTTCCTAAACATAAAACATCTGTCTCTATAAACAATCCTATTAGTATCATGGTGGTGTGAATGTCATTTAAACAGTATTCCATTGAGGGTCCGGCACAGTAGCGTAGTGGTTAAAGTCCTCGCCTTGAACGCACCAGGATCCCATATGGGCACCAGTTCTAATCCCGGCAACCCTGCTTCCCCATCCAGCTCCCTGCTTGTGGCCTGGGAAAGTAGTCAAGCACGGCCCAAAGCCTTGGGACCCTGCACCCGTGTGGGAGACCCTGAAAAGCTCCTGGCTCCCGGCTTCGGCACAGCCCTGGCCATTGCACTCACTTGAGGAGTGAATCATCAGACGGAAGATCTTCCTCTCTGTCTCTCCTCCTCTCTGTATATCTGCCTTTCCAATAAAAATAAATAAATAAAAAAAAATAGTATCCCATCAAAACCCACAATTTTAAACTAAATAGAAGGGAGTCTATCTGAACTCCTTAAGTGTTGGTTTTAAGAGAAGTATAATTTCATTACTGCATATCTGCATAAATTAACCCCTGAAATTTTTTCAATTGTTATAAAGTTTTATCTAAAATACAAAAGTAATATTTACACCAAGCATAATTGTTTGGCTACAATGTGCTTCCAACCTGCAGAAATATCTCTCAGATAGACTGGATAAATTCTTACAAGAATTCTCTACTTTTTATCTTATCCTACTATTTAGATAACACAAAGATAAACTTCAGCCCCAAATAGCCCATATTCTTAAAAAAAAAAACCTACTTTTCCAAAATGAAACTTAAATTTTTTTATTTCACAAAATATTTTGGGTCAGGAAATTATTTACTGTAAAGCAGACTAGTTCTCACCACTGTAATCCACATGCATCCCTCAACTGCAGCAGGTCAGAGTGCAGCGCGGGGACGGGCACGTGGCCCTTGAACGTGTCCTTGCCCTTTGTCCAGCATCCAAGCGCTGGCCCAGCCCCAGCAATACAGGGTGTCCTTGAATTTTAGGTAGAATCATCAAACGTATGAGAACACAAAATATTTTCACTGTGAACACAGTAAACGACTTGATACATGATCCACGGTGCTGTTGTCACAGCTCCATATCCAACACAGCTGTCTTAATAAATGAGACAACACTCGTTGCAAAAGCCAGAGTGGATTACTGTACTGCTGACAAAGTTCAAGGAAGAACATTTGCATCAGACTATAGCTTCAGGCACAAAAACAAGAGTTTAAAGGATTTCACTTAATTTTTAGAAGATAAATTGCCCTTCATTATTTATAACCGGTTTCTTGTCGAAACACTAATAGACTTCTGAGGCTGCAAAAGGCCTTGAGAAGCCATCTAGCAGTGAACCAGCAGCTGCGCATTAGCTGTCTCCACCCCAGATGCCTCAAGGCCTCGTTCACTGCCCAGAGAGAGGCCCGCTGTGTTACCCTGCAGCCTTGCATCTGCAGTGTGGACACAGCAAGTGCCGGCACGCTTGACTCAGGCCACGGTCCTGTTTCAGCACAGTGGGTTACGAACATGCACCCTGGACCTCGAATGCCCTCAGCCCAGTCCCAGCCCTGCTGCTCGGAGCTGTGTAACCCAAGGCTCCCTGTGCCACAGCCTCTGCACCTGCCACTGCGGCAAACACAGCGACGCTGTGAGGATGGGGCGGCTGAGACACAGCAACAACCTCACCCAGGCACACGGGTCATACAAGATTATTTCACAGAGTGCCATTCAGTTATAATTTCACTATTATTTAACTACTAGAATTGCTTCAGTAAAAGTACTGTAGGTTCCACACATTTAAATGTGACAGTGACACTTAAGATGATCTGATTTAGTACATTGTGTAGGAAAAATGTTTTTTGGGAAATTCTACCATGAATCTTCAAAAAAAAAAATCAAAGCCAAATTGAAAGACCTAGTACTCCAAAAAAATGTTAGAAGAGAGCATTTTTCCTTTCAAGTTGTTTTTTGTACTTTGTGAAATTCTATAAACACAATGCTTAAAAACAGATATGATTCATTAACAAATTAAGAGAATGCATGTGATCAGTCTGACCACCAGGGGGCACACGTGGGCTTTGGTAATTCTTACTCTCCCACAACTCTTAACTCTTTCGGACAAGGGAGGCAAATCATAACATGCAAGGTCTGGGTGAGAGCCAGTCCTTCTTGAACAAAAATATCACATCTGGAACTGAAGTGTTGAAATGCACAGTCGGAGAACGACACAGCGGGAGAGGAGAAGGGTGCCAACATACGACAGACCAAAGACGACCTGGGAGTCAGAGGTAGACCAGTTGCCAGTGGAACCTTTCCAGTTCTAAAGCAACATTTATGTTTTGTTTTATATGTTTGCGTCTTTGCTTGGCCTCACTCTCCCTCATTTTCCCTTTTTCTCCTCCCTTCCCCCAATAAATCCTAACTCCCTTTGTTTTCCTTCATTCCATAGTAATATGACCGGTAGGGCCCAGCGTGGTAGCAAGCGGGCTAATCCTCCACCTGGGATGAGCTCTGCTCCCTGGCCACATGGGGGAGCCCTTCACAAACACCACTTTCTGGGCTTCACCGCCAAGTCTGGTAGAGGGCGGGCCCCATGCAGGAAACAGGCCGAGTGTCCCTGACCCAGAAATCTGACAGAAGTGTTTCAGATTTCAAGTGTTTTTAATTTATGGATATTTGCATTTAAACTGAGAGGTTTTGGTGATAGGACTCAAGTCTAAAAGTGAAATACGTCTATATTTCAGACATACCTTGCACACCAAAACATTTGGTATATGAAACAAAGTCTCATGGCATAGAAATCTTCCACTGGTAGTCAGGGAGGGACACAGCGTATCAGATTCTCAGAATAAGGACGCTAGGCCTGTTTGTATTTCAAGCTCTAAGGATTCCAACATGCAGCCAAGGCTGGGAAATGGGCTTGGGTTTTTCGCAGGTGAATGGCGAGAGGCCCAGGCTATCTCAGCTAACAGCACCATTACACATCTATTCCCCAAAGCTACAAGCCCTGAGCTGGGCCTTCTCACCATCTCACATCCCTGCCCTGCCCTATCTCTCATCTTCCTCGTTCACAATTCCCTCGCTCTGCACCTGTCACCTCCTGCCAGCCTCGCTCCCTGGCCTGTCCCCCCAGGATGACTCACAAGGTCTCAGGATGTGCTGGCTCTTCTCCCACCCGTCCTCTGTTCCTAAACTTCAGCAGGACCCCTCACCCTGTCCCTCTTGGTGGAGTCCTCCTGACCTTGCCCACTCAACCAGCTGCTCATCAGCAAAGCCTCTGCTGCTGCTCCGGGATCCCCACTGTGAAGGCGTCAACAGGCAGGAACAGTGCACTGGGGGAAGTGTGGGTCTACCTCAGCTCAAACGGCTGCGCTCAGGAACGCAGGGCTCCGGCTTCAGTGTGCCTCTCCCACGCCCCAGCACAGAGCAAGAATAGATGCAGGGATATTTGTGGGAGGGATGAGCGAAGGAGCAAGCCTTCCCCTCCAGAAACGCTTGATGACTCAATCAGCTGACTATACCATCAGTCCTGGGAAATGCACTGCTATCAACACAGTCATTTGCAAGAAGCTTTAAATGTTGCTCTACCCAGAAAACTGAGAGAAAGATCACTGATATGGGTCTCAATTTGAAGAAGCAGTGTTGTTTCCAGGCCTGGGTGCTTGATTTCTGCTCCCAATGGGCTCCACTGGTCCCTCTGTCCCCACCCAGACAGGCCAGCAGGCTGAACCCCCTGAGCCCCACTCTCAGCCAAAATTCTTCAAAACTACACAAAATCTAAGCTGGCCTGTAGTCCCAGTGGCCACCTCTAGCATCAGGTCATCCCTCAGCCCCAGGGAGGTCTCCAGTGTCCCAGGGTCTCCTTGCTTTGCTTCTTGTTTAGTGACGCCCCCTTGCCTAAGAACTTCTCCTGCGTGAAGATGATCTAAGAAGTGTTTATGGTTCCTCTCCAGCCAGGCTGTGGAAAAAGGCACAAAGCATGATGCTGGATTATGTCCCAGAAGATGCAGACCTGCCCCTTCACCCTAGTGCTAACCAGCAGGCTCACTTAGAAGCCATCCATTGTGGGCATGCCCCACCCTCCCCCAAGGCCAAGGCAGCCCTGCTATGCCTGGAGCACAGAGTCAGGGCTGCCAGGAGGATGCTGTAGGGGAACAGGTGTGAGTGAAAGAGAGCGTGGCCATCCAGGAGGACAGCAGCCTGCAGTCCTGTAGGAGCTGGGGCTTGCTCTTCCTGTTCTAGAAGTCCACAAAGCCTTTGGGGGCCACACTCCCCACCCTGGCTGAGGCTCCTCCACCTCCCGGAGGAGCGGCTAGTTGAATGTTCATTTGGGGAACTCTTAAAATACAGATAACAATCTAAGTGGTATGGGGAGGAGCCTGAATATCAATCCTATTTTAAAGCTCTATTCTACCCTACAGTCTAGGGTGGAGTAACTTACTCTAGGACCACACCAAATAGCAATGTGTCCTCTGAATTCCTCAGCCTGATGGGAGCTTAGATTTCCCCGTAGGATTAGAACAGCTGAGAGCTATTTGGAAGCTAGGATCAGATCTTGCTCATCCTCATCTTTACTCTCAGCACTTGCCATGGCACCTGGCACACAGTACGTGCTTAGAGTGGTCTGGTAGAATGAATGAATGAACACATCAACTCACGCCTCCCAATTCTGCCCTCAAGCCACCTCCACAGCCCAGCGTCCTGTGAGGAAGAAACTCAACTAGAACAGGACTCAGCCCTAATTGCAAGTTTGGCTTTTGTGCTTTCTTATGTTATACTCTACTTCATCATAGTACATCCCATTCTACTATCACTATTCTAAACTGCATAGGATACTGGGACTGCCTCCTCAAAGCTGTGAACTTCGAGATGGGTTTCCTTAGAATATTTTTTTTAAATCATCTTGAATTTAATGCTTAGGTGGTGTCTATCCAATTCCTTTTTTTAAAAAAAGTTTTTTGTTGGAAAGGCAGATTTACAGAGAGAGAGGGAAATACAGAGATAAAGATCTTCTATCTGCTGGTTCATTTCCCAAGTTGCTGCAACAGCCAGAACTGAGCTGATCTGAAGCCAGGAGCCAGGAGATTTTTCTGGGTCTCCCACATGGGTGCAGGGTCCCAAGGCTTTGGGTCATCCTCTATTGCTTTCCCAGGTCACAAGCAGGGAGCTAGAAGGGAAGTGCAGCAGCCGGGACACAAACAAGTGCCCATATGGAATCCTGGTGGTTGCAACGCAAAAACTTTAGTCACTAGGCTACTGCACAGGGCCTGTGTCTACCCAATTTTAACACAACCAGCTGAGATAGCCAAATGCGATGGAATGACTCCTGGGACCAAGGCCTGGGTGACAAGCTAACTGCCGGAATCTCCCACTGGTTCGGGAAATGGCACTGGAACAAAAGGCCAGCTGCAGTTTTTCCCTAGGTTTGGAGAATTAGGGTTCTAAGATAGAATTGGGGAGAGTGGTTGCTGGGGGAGACAGTCAGTCTGCTGACTTGTCCCAGTAGAGACAGAGGGACAAGGGCAGCCTTTGGGAACCCATTCCTGTGCTCTCCAAAGAAATCTGTTTAGGTAAAAATGAAAAGTAGCTTTAGTCCAAGGAGCAGGGGCTACAACCTAAAGAGGAAGTGTCTCTGGCTGAGAAGACAAGTGCAGGGAGACTCAGGGATGAAGGACCTTAAAAAAGATGAAGTAGGAGGGGCCGGCAATGTGGTACAATGAGTAAAGCTACCACCTTCAACACTAGCATCCAATATGACACCAATTCACATCCTGGCTGCTTCACGTCCAACACAGTTCCTTGCTAACACTCCTGGGAAAGCAGCAGAGGATGGTCCAAGTGCTTGTGTCCCTACCACCCAAGGGGGAGACCCAGCAGAGGCTCCTGGTTCCTGGTTTTGGCTTCAGTCAACCCTGGCTGCTGCAGCCATTTAGGAAGTGAGCCAGCAGAGAGAAGACTTCTCTCTCTCTCTCTCTCTCTCTCTCTCTCTCTCTCTGTCTTTCAAATAAATAAAAGCAATCGCGGCTATGTTAGACACATGTTTAGTGTTGCAGTGGTTGAGTTCATGTCAAGGAGCCCAACCACGGATGTTTATAAATCTTCCCTCAGTACTAGCCAAGCTCCACAAATTCCTAGCTGAAGATGGAATTCCTTAATGATATTAAAAGAAATGAAAAAGTTAAACTCATCTGATAGAAATAAATCAAAGAGGACATATGTAAGCCAGCTGTTTGGCTAAATGTTCCATCCCCAACCCTTCTGCGTAAACACGGCCTCATTTGATTTATCAGCAGGTGCCTCTGCCTGGCTCAACCCAAGGAGGGGGTGAAAACATTCAAGCTATTTCTCATGACAACCAACAGGAATTGCTGAGCATTTACTTGAATTTTTATCTGGAAGTCGGTCTATCTTCCATACCACAGCCCGGAAGGCACTCTCATATTTTGCTGACCCCACTGTGACCTGAATGACAGGTTCAGACTCAAGCTCATGTAAGCTTCCCAGACATGCCCGGCGGTTCATTTTGGCTTTCAAGGACTTCTGCCTTTGGAGGTTCATGGTCCAGAGGGCCTTGATCCACTGGGATGGGACAGGGAAGTGTATTGTTACATTGTCACAGGACCGCAAGGGACTGGCAAGGGATGGCCTCTGGGCCAGTGGGGCCATGTTGATGAAGGCTTGAAGTTCCACATACGCCCCCTGGACAACCACGACAGACTTCACAGAAAATGGGAGGTCGCTCCCATCATACAAGGTTTTGAAACGCATCAGCTCAAAGCGGCAGGCATCCAAGGGGGCAAACTTAATGATTCTTGCTTGTTCAAACTCTTGCACTTTCACGCACTTATGAAAATGGTAGTCAAGAATATTGATTCCCCTTCTCTCTGTGTCTTTTTCAAAGTAGGATTCATCCAGTTTCTGTAGCTCAAGGTCATTCAAGGTTAGAAAGCACTCCGCATTCCCATTCACAAAGCAGAGGCAAGAGATCTGTGTTATCACTGCACTTTCAACCAGTTTTCCTTCTTCTTTGGTGACTTGACCCCAGAAGTGGTCCACAACTTCCACAGTCATCTCCTGCTCCTCATAGCTCCTTCTCGGTTTGGCCACGGCTGGCAGCGTCACCAGTTCCTCCTCCACAGTGGTCAAGAAATCGAGGAAGTCGTGGTACTCTGTGGTGCCCAGCTTCAGCATCTGCTCTACGTCGGCCTCATGGACCACTTCCGCTTTAGAGTGGTATTTCCTTTTTTCTGTGTAAGACACGTGCTCAATCTTCACCGTGTGGATCTTCCCTGCCACACTAAAGCTCTCTACTTTTGGTTCCGAAAGCCTACAGTGCGGATCGAGCTGCAACTCTCTGAAAGGTCTCTCTAACCCTTTCTCATAGTACATTTGCAAAATGCCTCCAGGTAGAACTTTCAGAAAGATCGGTCCCCACTGCCGGGAAGACATCATGTTTTTCTTCTCGGGGATCCTGAGCATGAATGACCACCCGGATGTGGGCTGGCTCCTGAAGAGTGTTTGGGGGACAAAGGCAGAGGCAGGGCCCTCAGTGTCCAGACACTGCGTGGACACATTCCCAAGTGATGACTCCCGATTCTCAGCAGACTGGAGATGCTCAAGCTTCTCGCAGATGTAGTTGAGCGAGCACTTATTGAGGCTTTTTTGGTCAACAGGTGTCTCCTTGTCTCTCAGTGAGAATGTCTTTCTGCTTCCCAGGGCCTCAAGGGTGAACTGGGAAGCACTGGTTTCATCTTTCCAAAATGGGCTGGAAAAAGCACAGTCATCCCGAAAGTACTGAAACTGGGGCGCATCGCCCTGGAACCTCTGGGTTTCGGTCTCATGAGTGCTAATTTCACTTGGAAGCCCTGCTTTGGGAGCCGGAGATGCATCTGTGTGGTCACTGGGTAAGAGCGCATGGGATGAGCAGGTTGGTTTGGGAGACAAAAAAGAGGAGTCTGTAGTGAGTGGGCTGTTTGACGATGCTTCTGGGATGGGATAAAGCACATGAGTCCCTGCTTTGGGGACACCAGGAAACCCTGGGAAGTCTTTGGTAGGCGTGGAAAGAGGGGAGTTACTTGGAGGTCCTGGGCTGAAGTAAAAGTCTACAATAGGAGAGGAGAGAGGGGTGCTGCTGGTAGAAGAGGAGCCACTGGGAAACTCCTTTGGGCCGGAAAGGTTCAGCTTTAGTCCATTGGGTCTAGAGACACCTTGAGTCTCCAGAGGTAAACTCTTTGGCCTTGGAGAAGCTTGAAAAGCAAGATCGTCATCAAAGGTGACCCAGTTGCCTGGGTTCATGGAGCACATCTTTGCAATCCAATGGTGGTTTTCACAAGGAATTGGGAATGTTGTCTCTGTTAAGAGAGAAAAACGGGAAAATAAAACCAAAGGGAAAACACAAGTTGCTAGTTGCCTATAGTTCTGAGAAATAAAACACAAAAGCACTCAGATTTATAGAGTTATTAAGTTCAAAGAAATGCTTAACGATAATAACCCTTCGATGGCTGAATACATTAAGAAAAACACAAGATCTAGCCTCACATTGTCTACATGAAATTTAAAGATATACACAGGCTAAAAGTAAAAGAACGGAGGATACCCCATGCCAGTGGAGTAGAGATCGTCACACCGGAATCAGACAGAACAAACTTTAAGTCAGACTGTCACAAAGACAAAGGGCAGATTCACCAGGAAGACGTAACAATTATAAATATGTATGGCCCCAACATCAGATCACTCAAATCATGAAGCAAACATCGATACAACTAAAGGGAGAAATGGACCACTATACCACAGCAGTAGGAAGGATCAACACTCCACTACCAAAAATTAGGTAGGAGAGATGGCATGGTGATACAGCACGCTAAACACTCCACCTGTGGTGCTGGCATCCTATATGGGCACTGGCTCATGCCCCAGCTGCTCCACTTCTTTTCTTTTTAATATCTGTTTATTTTTAGTGGAAAGTCAGATATACAGAGAGGAGGAGAGACAGAGAGGAAGATCTTCTGCCCGATGATTCACTCCCCAAGTAGCCGTTACTGCCAGAGCTAAGCCGATCTGAAGCCAGGAGCCTCCTCCAGGTCTCGCACATGGGTGCAGGGTCCCAAGGCTTTGGGCCTTCCTCTACTGCTTTCCCAGGCCATAAGCTGTTCCACTTCTGATCTAGCTCCCTGCTTATGGCCTGGAAAACCAACAGAGGACAACCCAAGCCCTTAGATCCCTTTGCCCATGTGGGACATCTGGAAGAAGCGCCTGGTTCCTGGCTTTGGATAGGTTCGACTTAGGTCATTGTAGCCATTTGGGCCAGTGAACCAGCAAATAGATCTCTCTCTCTCTCGATCTCTGTCTCTGTCTCTCTGTCAGCCTTTCAAATACAAATAAATAAATAATTCTTTTTTAAAATGGAGCATCTATCTAGAAGATCAAAAATGCAACAGAGGACTTGAACAACACTGCAGACCAAAGTGCACATATAGGTCGTATTATAGTGCATTGCACCCACAGCTACATATTACACATTCTTCCAAAGTGCACATAAAACATTCTCCATAACAGGTCACACATCAGATCACAAAACAAGTCTGTCACTCTGTGTGTGTGTGTGTGTGTGTGTGTGTGAGAGAGAGAGACAGAGAGAGAGAGAATCTTTTTGGTTTGTTCCCAAATGACCACAACAATTGGGGCTGGGCCAGGTCCAAATCAAGAGCCCAGAATTCCATTCTGGTTTCTCACTTGCGTGGCAGGGACCCGAGTACTTGTGCCATCTTCTGCTGCTTTCCCAGATGCATTAGCGAGAAGCTAGATTAGAAGTGCAGCAGCTGAGACTTGAACCAGCAGTCACATGAGATGCTTGGATTATAAACAGCAACTTACTGTGCAGTGCCATCTCATCAACCCCACAAACCAAGTTGCAACAAATTTAGGAAGACTAATGACAGTTTGTATCCTGACTGTTCCACTTCCCACACAGCTCCCTGTTTATGGCCTATGAGACCAGTGGAGGATGGCCCAAAGTCTTGGGACTCTGAACCCATTTGGGAGACCAGGCAGAAACTCCTGGCTCCTGGCTTCAGCCTGGCTTCAGCTTGGCTCAGTTCCAGCCTTTACAGCCACTTGGGGAGTCCACTTGGGGAGTGAACCAGTGGACAGAAGATCTTTCTCTTTGTCTCTCCTTCTCTCTATAAAATCTGCCTTTGCAATAAAAATAAACCTTTTTAAAAAAATAACTTTTATGGGCCCGGCGGCGTGGCCTAGCGGCTAAAGTCCTCGCCTTGAACACACCGGGATCCCATATGGGCGCCAGTTCTAATCCTGGCAGCTCCACTTCCCATCCAGCTCCCCGCTTGTGGCCTGGGAAAGCAGTGGAGGATGGCCCAAAGCTTTGGGATCCTGCACCTGTGTGGGATACCCAGAAGAAGTTCCTGATCTTGGCTTTGGATTGGATCAGCTCCGGCTATTGTGGCCACTTAGGGAGTGAAGCAGAGGACAGAAGGTCTTCCTCTCCATCTCTCCTCCTCTCTGTATATCTGACTTTCCAATAAATAAATAAATCTTTAAAAATAATAGTAAAAAAAATAAGTTTCAAAATATTTAAAGTTTTTTAAAAGAATAAGATTGAAATCATATGGGATATCTTTTGTAACCACAATGGGGAAAAAGCAATAAATCAACAGCAGAAAGACCACTAAAAAATTCATGAATATATAAAAATTGAATAATACAATCTTGAGAAAACCAGTGAGTCAAAGAAAAAAAGCAAAATAAAGAATAATTTCAGAAAAATGAACATGAAAATAGCACTGTAAAACATGTGATACAGTAAAAAGCAGAATTCACAGGGAAGTTTATTGCCACAAATACACACACACACGAAAGAGGCAAGTTCTTGGCACAGCAGTTAAGCACCCACATGGCAGGCCTGCACCCCATATTGGAATACACTATTTGAGTCCTGGCTCCTCCTTCACTCAGTAACCCACCTTCCTGATAATGTTCAACTAGGGCAGTGTTAGATGACAGTCCAATTACTTAGGTACCATGTGAGAGACTGCAACTGAGTTTCAATCTTCTGCCTTCGTACTGGCACAGTCCTGGCTACCGTGGGCATCCAGGGTGTGAAGAAGAAGAAGGGGATGGAACACTTCCAAAATCATTTTAGAATACTAGCAAATCAAACACAATTGTGTATAACTCAACTCAGGGAAATCAATCAATGTCAAGTATCGCATTAAGAAAACAGAAGACACAGTTCACTTGATGAACGCAATACATGCACAAAAAGCAACTGACAAGCCTCGATAGCCACTCCTGACACAAACTAGAAATAGAAAGGAATTATCTCAATGTAATTTCCATATATGAAACACCCGTAAAATTAGCATCAAACTCAGCAGGGAAAGCATGGAAATTTTTCTTTAATATCAAGAACAAGGCACTTTGTTAGACATAGTTCTAGAATGCCTAGCTTACACAACTGGGCAAGAAAAAGAAACACTTTCAAATCAAAAAGGAACAAGTAACATCTCCGTTCCCAGAGTCCACCAAAAAAAAGAACAATTAGACTCAGCAAAGTTGCAGTATATAAAATCAACATACAAAAATAAGTTGTATCTTTCTACACTAACAATGAATTATTCAAAAAGGAAATAAAAAAAAACCATTATTTTAAAAAGCAAAATATTCAGAAATAAACATAACTAAATAAGTGAAAGATTTACACACCAAAAAGTTCAAAAGTCACTGAAAAAAATTTAAATTTAAAGACAAATGTAAAGACCTTCCATGTTTACAGATTAGAAAAATTAATATTGTTAAAATGTTTATATTACTCAAAGTAATCTAAAGACTCAATGTAACTCCTATCAAGAATTCAGTGACCTTTTTTCAAAGGGAGATAACAAAATCCTGTAACTTATCAGAAATATAAAAGATTCCTAAATAGCCCAAACAATCTTTTTTTTAAAGATTTATTTATTTTTATTGGAAAGGTGGATATACAGAGAGGAAGAGAGACAGAGAGGAAGATCCTCTGTTCGAAGATTCACTCCCCAAGTGACTGCAACGGCTAGAACTGAGTCAATCCGAAGCCAGGAGCCAGGAGCTCTTCCGGGCCTCCCATGCGGGTGCAGGGTCCTAAGGCTTTGGGCCGTCCTCCACTGGTCTCATAGGCCACAAGCAGGGAGCTGGATGGGAAGCAGGGCTGCCGGCATTAGAACTGGCGACCACATGGCTTTCCGTGAATGTAAGGCCAGGACTTTAACCACTATGCTATCACGCCAGGCCCCAAGATAATGTTAAGAAAGAACAAAGCTGGAGGTCTCAGACTCACTAACTTCCAAGTGTGTTACAAAGTTACAATAATTAAAACAGGGTAGTATTGGCAACAAAGATAGACATCCAGAAAATGTTACAGAAATAAAACTATGGCCAAGTAAACAGTTAAATGATCCTTGACAAGGGTGTCAAGATTCTGCAATGGGAAAAGAAGAGTCTCCTCAGTGAATGGTGTTCAGAAATCTAGACATAAGCAGATCTATATCTTACATCATACTCAAATACCAGTTCAGAAAGGAGAAAAGATCTAACCATCAGACCTAAAAGTACAAATCTCCTCAAAGAAAACACTAAGAGAAGTCTTGGTGACACTGGTCTTGGCCGTGATTCTAGCAGATGGCCTCAAAGCAGAAGAAACAAAAGCATTAATAGGCCAGTGGGAGGACAGCAAACTGAACAGCTTCTGCCCTCACAGGAAATGCCCACAGAGCAAAAAGGCCATGCACAGAGTGGGATAAAATGCTTGCAACCCACGTATCTGCTTAGGGATACCTATTCAAAACATAGAAGGATTTCAAACAACTACAGGAGAATAACCCAACTAAACAGTGGACAGACATTTCTCCAGAGAAGACACTGAAATTGCCAATGAGTAAATGAGAAGATGGCAAACTCTGAGTAATCATCAGAAAAATACTAATCAAACCTACAAGGAGATACTGCCTCAAATCTGTCAGAATGGCCATTATTAAAAAAAGAAAAAGGTAGTTGAGGGAGAAAAATAACAAATGTTGGAAAGAATATGCAGAATTTAGAACTTCTTTGGTGGGAATGTAAAACACTCTACCCATTACAGAAAACAGCACATACAACCACATGACCCAGGGAATCAACCGCTATGCATTTATACAAAAGAACTGAAAACAGGATCTTGAAGAGGTACTTGGCAGCATTATCCACAGTAGCCAACCAAATCAAATAACCTGAATACTCACTAGCGAGTGAATGGGTAAGGAAAATATGGCATATTCATACAGCAAAATATTATCCATCCTTTTTAAAGGATGGGAGTTCTAGC